CCCCCCCACCCCCCACCCCGGCTGTACCGCACACTCTCAAACACGTGTTCAAACGCCGTGGGGATGATGCCTCTCTGGGAGGGCGGATCCGGCAGGTCCATGCATGGTGAACGACTTTCCGCTGCCCGTCTGGCCGTAGGCGAAGATGGTGCCGTTGTAGCCTTCAGTGACGCCCTGCGCCAGGGGAACCAAACCCAGGGCTCAGGAGAGGCCGAGGCGAGCGGCACCGCCTCCTAACCCAGAGTCAGGGCCATCCCTAGCTCTGCCGCACGGCAGCACAGGACACGGGCGATGAGTGGAGAGTAAGGAAGCATCTGCGGGGCCAGTGCTGTGGAGCAGCCGGAAAAGCCGCTGCCTGCGGTGCCTGTTCGAGTCCCGGCTGCTCGACTTCCAGTCCAGCTCCTTGCTAACGCGCCTGGAAAAGCAGTGGAACATGGCCAGGTCCCTGGGTCCCTGCACCCCATGGGAGACTTGGAGGAAACTCCTGGCTTCAGAGCAGCCCAGCTCTGACTGTCGAGGCCATCTGGAGAGTGAACTAGCAGATGGGAGACCTCTCTGTCTCTCTACCTTTCAAGTAAATAAATCTTTTTTTTATTTTTAAAAGATTCAAGGGTTCAAGTCCCGGCTGCTCCACTTCTGATCCCGCTCCCTGCTGATGTGCCTGGCCCAGCCCCAGCCGTTTTGACCATCTGAGGAATGAACCAGCAGATGAACCATCTCTGTGTCTGTCACTCTGCCTTTCAAATAAATAAAACAAATGTGAAAAACAAAAAAGCAGGCAAGCATTTGGGCTCTGCCCTCCAGGGGTTCACTGGGGAGGGGGAGCTAAGAGCCTGTGTGGGGAGGCGCAGCCCCTGGGGCCCTTCGCTGTGTCTTCCTTGGGCTCACTGAGCCTCAGTCTGCACATCTTTAGTCAAGGGCAGAAACAGCTCCTCCTGCCAAGGCTGCTGGAGACCACGTGGGAGTTACTGTGCATCAGCACCCGAGTGAGGCGTACAGAGGCGCTCCCCCAGTGTCCCCCGGGGAACGTGGCGACAGGGCACCGGGCACGGGAGGGGCTGTGATGGGGGGACCAGGATGGTGGGGTGAGAACTTGGCAGAGCCCCCGGGGGACAATGATCAGGGAGAACAGGGGGAGCTGGAAGGGCGGCAGGAAGCAGGCGGTGTCCCAGGCCAAGGGGACAGTTGAGCAAAGACAGAGGGGTGAGAAGGGAAGAGCAGGTGGAGCTGGGGGGAGGGGCGGGAGGCGAGGCTGGCTGGGAAGATGGGGGCAAACGGGACCATTTCTACAGCCACCCGTCACTCATCCGTGCACTCATTCCCCCACGGGCTCTCCTCTGTGCAGGCACCGTGCTCCGGCTGGGGACATCCCTGTGACCGAGGCAGACACGGTCCCTGCCCTCAGAGCTCATGAGGTCACAAATTCTAGAACTTCCTACGGGAGGGGGGCACCTTGCATCAGAACGTGGACCTGGAGAAGTGCTGCCAGGGCCCGCAGGACACCTCGGCTGGTCCTGCTGCACAGGTCCCCCGCTGTGGACACGGCAGGGCGTGGCCACCCCCGGAAGTGCCCGTGCGGGAAGGTGGGGCCACCACACAGAAAAGGATGAGCACGCAGCCCTGTCTGGGGGTCACCAGAGGGCAGTGGCACTGTGTCCCCTGGCAGCGGCAGGGAGACCACCCACCTGGGGGTGCGGGCTGTGCGTCTCCGACCCACGCGGCGAGAACAGGGGCATTGGAAGCCTGGGAGTAACATGTGGCAGACACTCAGCTCAGGGATCATGGGATCACCCAAACACGGGGAAGGGACCCCACGGACAAAGAAAGCCAGATGCACTGTCCACCCAGGCAGCCACCGGCTCTCACAGGGGGTGCCCCGTGGGACTGACGAACTGAATTTATTTTCTTTCAATTAATGGCAGTACAACATGGTCTTGCATTAATCACAACTTTATATTTTTCTAATTTTTTTTAATGCTTATTTTTTTGACTTAGCTGGAAGGCACAAAGGGAAAGGGAGACAAGCAGACCGATGAGTTTCCATTCACTGACATCCACAACGACCAGGCTCCAGGAGCTTAACGCAGGTGGCAGGGACCCAACTACTTGGGCCATCAGCTGCTGCCCCCCAGGACGCACATTAGCAGGGAGCTGGAACTGGAGTGGAGCCAGCACTCGAACCCGGGCCCTCCGACATGGGACGCGCCTGTCAAACGGCTTCTCAACTACTATGCCAGACACCCCCTCTGTTTCAATTGTTGAAATTTTAGCATCCAAACTGATGCAAATAAGCATAAAATGCACACTGGATATTGAAGACACAGTATCAAGATAGAATGTAGACTTCATTAATAGTTATTACATAATTAAAATACCTGTTATATCTTACAGAAATAATATGCTGATAATATTAGCTCAAATAAAACATATCATCTATTTCTTTTTACTTTGCAAAATGCAGCTACTTGTAAAACAGATAAGCTACAGATGAGGCTCGCGTGGCACCCATACCGGAAGGCTCGGCTGGAGAGCTATGCCATGCATTGTGGTAGCCACTAGTTACGTGTGGTTAGCTAAGTCTGGCCCAGTGAAAGTTAATAATTCAAGTGGAATGAAAATCCAGAGGTCAGGCCCCATGGCGCAGCAGGTCAAGCCTCCGCCTGCAGCACTGGCATCCCATATTCCCACACCGGTTCCAGTCCCGGCTGCTCCACTTCCAATCCAACTCCCTGCTAACGCGGCCTGGGAAGGCGGCAGAAGATGGCCAAGTCCTTGGGCCCCTGCCACCTATGGGGGAGACCCAGGTGGAGCTTCAGAACTCCTGGCATCAGCCTGGCCCAGTCCTGGCGCTGGCAGTTGTGGCCATTTGTGGAGTGAGCCAAAGAATGGAAGACCTCTCTCTTTCTCTGTCACTGTGCTTTTTAAATAAATAAATAAATCTTTCAAAACATTAAAATCCAGGTCCTTGGTGGCACCAGCCTCATCTCACTTGTCCCAGGTGGCTCGCGGCTGCCCCGTGGGACGGTGCAGCCACTGCACGTGTCCATGGTCACAGAAGGTCCTGTAGCACAGCGCAGCTCCCAAGCTCAGTGCAAACAACTTTACTCGCACTTCTAAGGCGAAGGGGCATTTCAGAAAGTCTCTGCCATCAGCTGACCCCTCCAGACCCCCGGGGGACAAGCACACGTGAGATCCACGGCTGCACGTCTCCAGGCCGCTTTGTGAAGGCTGGAAGTGCTGTCCTTTGTTCTAAGTGAAATGGGACTAGCGGGACAGGCAGGGGTGGGGTGGGGTGTGGAGGGGAGGAGCTCAGGGCAGGGCGGCCCCCAGGATGAGGAGGTCAGGAGGATTTAAAGGAGGGAAGAGAAAGAGAGAGAAGGGGACGGAGCACTTGGGGCTTCAGACAGCGCGACCTTAAGGGAAGGTTCTAGGGTCCCGAGCCACTGGCAGGAGCCCTGCATGGCCCCGCCCCTTTGGTGCTGCTGCCCCCGGCTCAGAGCCAGCCTGAGCTGTAGTCTGCATGCGGCCAGATGGAGCCCGGGAAGCTGGCTCTGGGAGTCGCGACCGTCCACGGCTCTCCGGCCCTCAGTTTCCTCCTAAGCAGAGACGGCTCCAGCCCTCGGAAGCTCAGAGGCTGTTCGCGCTACCTGGTCTCTACCTATGGAGCCCTTTCTTCCACCTCTCATCCTTCAGGTCCCAGCTTGTATCTCCCCTCTTCCAGGAAGTCCTCCCTGCTCTTCTCCCCTCCCCCTATTCCCGGCCACTGAAGCCCAGGTTTGGGAGCACCCCTATGCTGCCGAAGGCCCCCAGGTTTCCCCCACCGACTCATCACCCAGGATGTCAGCTAGTAGCTTAGCTGCTCCTCCCCGGACCACGAGCTTGCTAAGGACAGAGACCCTGAGCCCTTTAGCAAGGCACCCAGCATGCACCCCCCAGGATGGGCCCTGGAGTGGAGATGCTATTTAGTCGTGTCACTAGTTGAATGAATGATGAGCGTCAGGTGGCACATGAGGCTCTGGATCACCCGTGGCAGGTGTCCGACAGGCTCCCAAGCACCTGCTGGACTCAGAAGAGAAGGAAGAGCTGGAGGGGACCTGGCGGGACTGTCACTGTGTCCCCGTCTCCCTCTCTGAGCTGGGGCTCCCGCGGGCCCTGACCAACGAGCTGGCCCAGGGCACTCTTCCTGGATGAGGAGGGGTCCAGGCCTCCAGCCCATCAGCAAGGCTGAAGCCCCGGAGGAGGCAAAGCCGAGGAAAACCAGTATCTTCAGTTCTGCCCGGGGTCAGCCCCAGACGGAGGGAGCGGGGGACGGAGCCAGGCCGCGTGGCTGACCGCTTCAGGGAGGCCGGCTTGGACTCAGGGCTGGATGGCCAAGCCAAGGAACCACACTGGAAGGGGCTGTTTGGGCAGACTGGACTGCGGTGTAGTAGCACCAGTGACAGCTCGGCCTCCACTCTGGCGGACTCCAAGGACCCGACAGGAGGCAAGGGCAGGGTCAGGTCCAGTCTGGGAGTGGGGTCTGGCAGAAGACAACCTGGCCATTCTCAGCCTCTGGGGGCAGCTGCCCCTCGTCCCCAGGCCAGCTCCTGGCCGCTGGGGAGCTCTGTCAACCCACTTAGGGGCCGGACTGACTCTTGGCTGAAGGCTTGGGGCAACAAGGTGGCTGCTCTCAGGCGGTCACTGGCCTGTCCCACAGTCGGACGTGCTTTGGAAACGCTGGGCGAAGTCACACTGGTTCCTTCTCTGCAGGATTTCACAGAGCCTTGCACACCCTAGCCTGCCCCGTGCAGCTTCAAATGAGGGGGGCAAGAATGCGGCACCTCTGAAAGGCTCCTTCTCTTTGCCGAACCACCCACAACATCTCACCCCAGCAGCGACTCGCCGAGCCCGAGGGAGGTGTCAAGGGACCGAGTCAGGGGCCCAGAATGGAGGAGCCAGCATCCCATATCAGAGCGCTGGTTCGAGTCCTGGCTGCTCCGCTTTCCACCAGCATCCTGCCGATGCGCCTGCGAAAGCAGCAGAAGATGGCCCACGTGCTTGAGCCCCTGCCACCCGCGTGGGAGACCAGGATGGAGTTTCAGTCGCCTGGGCCCTGGCCCAAATGTCGCGGCTGTTAGGGGAGTGAACCTTCTCCCCCTAACCCCTCTCTGACGATCTTTTGGAAGACGACAGAGCCCTTGGCCAGGAGGCAGGAGGTGTGGTTCAGGCCTCACCTCTGCCAGAAACCCGGAGGGAGCTCGGCCAGGGTTCCCGGCCCCGCTTCCCGGTCTCCCGGGCGTGAGATGCTAGTGCCGTCCCTGTGAAGACCCGCAGCCCTAGACAGCGAGGAGCTGTCGCTGCGCACACACCGAGGGGGAAGGGGGCCGGACCACGGCTGAGGGTCTCTGTCCCTCTCAGAACGAGGCGGGGCGGTGCCGTCTGCGCAGCGGCAGGGCCCCCTGAGACTCCGGCACCGGCCACAGTCTCCCGGGAGGGACGTGAGTGAGGACCAGCGTGGCCCTAGACGCGACGTGGCCGGCGCGCTGGACACAGTCTCCGGGCCGGCCTGGCGCTGTCCGCCTGTGCCGGGGCGCCGCCGGGGACCCTCACCTCCACCAGCGGGTAGGCGATCTCGTTGTAGATCTGCTCGGTGACGTGGTCCGTGTGGTAGGCGCCGTCGAAGGTGAACTGCTTGGGGGGCTCGTCGGCGGCTCCCGGGTTCTGGATGAAGCACTGGCCGCGCGCACAGTCCATCGTCACCACGGGCTGGCAGCTGAGCTCCCGCTCGCGCTGGTTCATCGGGCGGCAGCGCACCACCACTTCACCGGCATTGCATTTCTGTCCGGGCCCGGGGGCGGGTCCAGAGCCGGCGGGGGGCGGGGCCGCGCGGCGCGGGCGGGGTCTCGGCGGGAGGGGCGGGGCCTCGGGGGGCCCCTCGGGGGGCGCCCCGGAGGCTGGGCCCCCGCGGGGAAGTGGGGGATCCGCGCTGCAGGCGCCGCCGCAGGACCCGAGCCCCGGAGCCGCCCGCCCGCTCGCGCGTGCACGCCGCCGCGGCGTTCGCGGTTGCCGGGCAACCCCCGTGGCGTCACAGGGGGCGCAGCGCCCAAGTCCGCGCGTTCTCAGTGCCAGAGTTTCCCCTCCCCACCCCCGCCCCGGGCTGGGGTCTCCACGCCCGTCTGTCAGCGAGGGTCTCCGCAGAGGGCCAGCAGCTCGCCCGAGGCTGCCCCCGCCAAGACAGGGACCCCAGGCTCCACCCCGAGTTCGAGGGGCTGGAGACCTCCCGAGCCAAGCCGGGCGACCTCTGCCCCCAGCCCCAGCCCCAGCCCCTGGACGGAGCCCGGCTTCCTCTGCTGCCGGAACCTGTGGGCCGGAGAGGCGGCCTGGCCTGTCCCTCAAGCTCGGCCCAAGCACCCCCAGCCAGAAGGGCCGCTCCGCGCCACCTCCTCTGGGCTCCCCCTGGCAGGGAAACACTGAAATCCGCGCCAGGCAGGCCGCGATCGCTGCAGAGCCAGCCCTCCTGCAGCCCCCAGCTGAGCGGGGAGACTCGCCCTGGGGGGACAAAGACCCCCAGAAATGCAAGCGTAATTACGAGGTGGAGACGCTCTGGGACAACCTCTGCAAAGGGAAGCTCACATTGTAGGGCGAGGGGCAGGCAGCCTGAGACTGGGCCCCAAATACCGTGGTTAAGGATGAATCAGGCAGAGGGGAAGAGGTGGACAAGGGGACCTGCCCAGGCTGTGCAAAGGTCCTGTGGCATGTGGTAGGAGCAGAAAGCAAGCCCATGTTGCCAGGGCATAAGGCCCTGAGTCTTGTTCCTACAGTAACTAGCCACTCAAGGTCTCAAGTGGCTGCACATGGCTGGATCCCACCTTCCCACCCAGTCCCTTTGGGAGATCTGAGCCCATTCAGCACCAACCGAAGCCAAATGGGACAGAGGCCCCCCCCCTCTTGAAGAGAAAGGCTGCACTACACAGTTGGAAGGAACGGGTTTTATTGAGTCCACACTGGGGCGACCCAAGTGGTGGTGGTTGGGACACAGACACACACACACAGCCGTGCTCCATTATTAAGACACTAAGAAGCTGGCATCCCTGGGCCAAAAGCCTTGCCCAAGTGTAACCTGTGACCAGCAGGAGCTGACCGAAGTCTGAGCTTGGGGAAGGCTGCTCCCTTCCATGTGCTCAGCGCTCCCCCGAGCCCACCCTGCAGTGGAACACTGACTGTGAACCCAGCCCCCCATTGCCAGGGCTGCGGGGCACATGAGGCTGGGGGCTCCCGCCACAGGACGGCACTCTGCCCAGGGAGGGGACCGGTTCAGTCAAGATGCCTGGAACACCAGTCCCAATGTCCCACTCCCATTCGGCACAAATCAGGGCAGTATCTCCGACTAAAAGAGCCCCGGGGGACCGCCTCCTCTCCTTTGAGACAGGCCAGGGCACCTGTCTTGCAAGAAAGCCACAGGCCCCTGGCCGAGGTCCTGTCCTGGTGCGGCTGCGCACAGGCGCCTCTGCCTTCCAGGACTCGCATACCTGTTACGTCCCAGCACGGCACGGCCCCGCCTCGGGGACAGATATCCGGAGCAGTAACTGTGCCTACACACTCACGACTGCCCGTCGAGCTTACTCAGAAGGGGTGGGGGCACCCTGGATGCCAGTCGCCAGCAGGGCCATTGCCTGCAGCCCCACCTGGGTCTCCCCCTGCCCGCTGAGGCCTCAGCGCCTCTGGCAGGGCACACGTCACCACCACCTCTGCATGAAGGCCTCTGCTCTGACCCCGCCAGCCACGGGTGGTGCCATGTCGGAGGACACACCAGCCACAGAGCAACTGTGGCCTGCAGATCCTGGCCGGCACCTCCCAGACAGCTGGGGGAGCTGGGGCGGGAGACCTCACTCTCTCTCACCTGGCCAGAACTCTCTGGAGACCCCCACCCCCGTCAGGGCCCCCGCCCCCCTTGGCGGGCTCCTCTGCCAGGAGGCAAGTGGGAGCCCGGATGTGACAAGTTGGCAAAGTCACCAGGGAAAGCCCGAAGCCCGGAGCTCTGCCACATCTCCAGGAATCTCGCAGGACAGAAGACTGGCCCAAGAGGCATGGCGCGGGGTGGGGCAGGCAGGAGCAAGGTGAGGCGGCGCCGTGCGCGCGCACGTTCTCCTAGCCCAGGCCCTGCAGTTCTGCCTCGGACTTGGCGTGGCCAAGGGGCCGGAGAGTCCGAGGCGGCCCGGAGTCCTGCTCCTCATAGGTGGGGTTCAGGCGGCCCATGCCCAGGGGGCAGAAGAGGCTGCGCTTGGCGCCGGCGCGGTTCTCCACCAGGGCCTCCAGGCTGGGGAAGTCTGCTGGCAGCCGCTGAGGGAGGAGGGGGCTTCAGCTCCCGCGCTCCTCCCCATGGTGCGCCAGGCACCAGCCACCTCCTCCTGGGGGCACCTGCCTGCCGCATGCCACTTCCCCACTCTCCCCTGCCTGCCCGGAAGTACGGGCACAGGCGTCCAAAGCCTCCCACCCCGCTGGGAGTCCCAGGGGCTGGGTGGGCTTAGGCGAGCCCTTGCCCTTTCTGAATCGGAATCCTCCTCTGCTATCCAGGGGCTAGGGTGTGGGAAGGCAAGACTTTGAAAAGCCAGGATTCCCACTCAGGCCCGACCCTATCCGAGGAACCCTCTAGGAGCTCCCTCTGGGGCAGGGACCCTCAGTGACCAGGGCCAAGGAGGTAGGGGAAGGGCGGGGCCAGCCAGTGGGTACCCAGTGAAGATGAGGGAAGGCTGGGCTCTCACCTCCAGGCAGTAGCGGCCTAGGGGGTTGCGGAAGACCTGGTGGGGCACCACGCCGCACTGCGTGCGCACGGACAGGCACCACTGGCCGCTGGCGCCCGGCTCCGGCCACAGCAGGAAGGCCCCGAGCACGTCTCTCCGCAGCAGGGCCAGGGCACAGGTCCTGGGGGACACAGGGCGTAGGCTGAAGGCAGCACCCGCCTCTGGAGCGGCCTCAGGGGGCGCCCCCGGGCAGTGACCTGCGGTGAACGTCCCTCCGGGCTGAGAGCCTCAGGACCCCAGCAGGAGAGGGGACAGAGCTGACGGGACCGGAGCCCTGCGGCAGGCCAGGGCTGAGCGCCTTCCCAGAGTCACCTCACTCGGTCCCCCCGCAGCCCCATCACCAAGGTCCTCTCATTACCCCCGTTTCTCACTTGAGAATACTGAGACCCGGGTGGCCAGAAGCCCCCGAGGGTGGGGGAGCTCTGCCCATGCACAGGGACCGGCACCATCAGGGCGGGGTCAGAGCACAGCCCCTTACTCTGCCCCCACCAAGGAACCGAGCCCCTCCCACCTGGAGATGCCAGCAAAGGCCCAGATGTTCTCCGTCAGGCTGCCCTCGCTCTCCACCAGGCACGAGGGGCCCCCAGGACCCCGGGGCCACGCCTCCCATGCGGCGGGAACTGCGGAGACCACCCAGGGTCAGAGGGAAAGTGGCCAAGCCCTCCCAGGCCAGCCCGTCCTCCACGCGGGCCCCCTCGTGTCCGGGGGTTCCCTGGTCGAGCGGCCCCTCCCCACCCCACAGGCATACCCGGCCATGCTTAGAGCCCATACACAGCCATGTGGCACCTGCACACAGAGTGGAATGCACACACACACCTGGACACAGGGGCGTCCACACTCGCACACACAGGCACCTGCTTGGAGGGGCAGCCACGACCCTGCGTGTCAGCCCCGCGCCCACCCACGGTGATGGACGGCAGCTGCACCCGGGCGACTCACAGGCCTCCCGCGCCGACAGCTGCAGCTGAGCCTCGTAGGTGCAGCCCCGGTAGGCCCCCGAGCGGATCACCTTGCTGCGAATGGCTTTCTTGCGGACCAGCGTGGGCGAGCAGTAGGGGTTCCCCAGGCGGGCGTGGCGGGCGCCCCCTCGGCCCTCCGACTCCAGCAGCTCCTTCTAGGGCACCAAGGGGGGCCCGCGGGCGGGCAGACTCAGGCCCAGCCACGTGAGGCGAGGCAAGGCCTCTCCCGCTGACGGCCAGGCCCCTCTGTGAGCCCCCAGCCCTCCCCCAGCTCCCTAGCCGGGGCGCTGCCTACCCCACTGCCCACCGGCCCCTCTGCTGGCAGCCGCCGGAAGGAGACCAAGGCGTGGACGTTCTGTGACAGCTGATCCCGGCCGAAGGGCTCCCGTGCCAGGGCAGGTGGGCCCCCCAGGGGCTTCGGAGGCACATCCGCAGTGGGTGCTGGGGAGGGCTCAGGCTGGGCCCTCTCCTCGGGGTGCTGCAGGAGGTAAGCCAGCTGGAAGGAGCGGCACAGCAGCAGGTACAGGATGTGGACCTGCAGGGGACAGGCGGCTCAGCGGGACGAGTGTCCTGGGGAACTCAAGCACCAGCCCGCTCGCCGCGGCGCACGCCGCCCCTCGGGCCAGGAATGCCCTGCCTCATTCTTCCTGGGAAATCTCCTAGTCAGCCTTCAAAACCCCACCGCCAGTCTCCCCTGCCAGCCTCCTGTATTCACTCGGCAAGCACCAAGCACCAACCTTGGGCCAGGCATCAGGACGGCCGCAGAGGCGGTAACCCTGGGCTAAGGCACTGCCGCCGCCCCCCCCCCACACACACACACTGCGTGCCCCACCCTCACCCAGTGCAGATCCCTTCAGAGGGCGCTCAGAGCCTGGCCCTGTCACTCAGGAGCGGCTGAGTGACCCCGGCAGCCTGTGGCCTTCTCCGTGTCCCGGTTTCCTCAGCCCCACCTCAGGGCCACAGAAAGCTCCCAGCACAGGCCCGGGGCTTGCATATTGTATGGCACCGTGCAAGACACTCCATGCAGTGCCAGCAACAGTGCACAACCAGGCACCACATCCCAGCCACGCCAGCACGGGGAGCCAGCACGGGGCTGGTTGTGCGGCGCCAGTGCCAGGCAGCCTGCTGACCTCCCGTCTCCCAGGGCCCGGCTGCTGTGGCTCCGACTTCCTCAGTCTCCCTGCCTGCACCAGCCCCTGTGCAACCTCAAGCCTGGAACACTTCAAGACCCGGACTGGCCTCTGCTCTCCAAGAACTCAAGCGTCTGTCATGAGACAGAGTGACAGAGCGCGGTTCAGGTCCCGGGGCTGCCGAGGGAGGGGCAGTCGCAGGCCGGGCAGATGGCGCTTTGCCCAGATGAGAAGGCAGGGGGAGACCACGCCGAGAGAAGAGCAGGAGCAATCTCGAGGCGAGAGGCCAGGTCTCCGCCTGCAGGCCCCCCGGGGGCACTGGCTTGCTCTCTGGGGTCCTCTGTGGGCAGAGCGAGTGGGGCGAGGAGCGCGAGCCCGGAGGGGGGTGCAGGCCAGCCCGGCCAAGCCCCAGAGGCCTCTGTCCCTGCATGCCCGGCACATCCCCACTCCGTCCTCAGCGGGACCCCCACCCTGGGGCCCAGGCACCTCTCCGGGCTGGCTGCCCACAAAGAGGTGGCAGAAGAGCTTGCTGGCCGGGCTCCGTGGGTTCCGCGCAACGAAGGCGAACTGGCAGTCAGCCGGGCACCAGGTGGAGTAGAGGATGCGCCTCAGGGCGTGGGCCATCAGGAGCACCTGGAGGCGGGGCCACGAGCCTCCATCAGGCCGGTCCCGCCCACCTCGGGCCCAGCCAGGGCTGCCTGGCCCCAGGGATGCAATCCCTCTCTCCTGCCAGGCCCACCCGGTCCCGGACCCCCAGCCCTCACATGGCCACGGACTTGGGATCCCCTTGACTCCAGATGCCGGCCTGTGGGTCACAGACACGGGCAGCGGCGGCAGGCCCCGGGCTGCACACCTGGCCTCTGGTTCAAGTCCCAGCTCTGCCACGCCCCCTCCACACGCCTTGCAGGAGTACAAGTGACAGGGCTCAGGGCGGGGACAATGCTAGTCCCTCTCTCACGGGCAGTGACTCCTGTGCAAGGGGCACAGGAACTGATGCCTGGCTCTGGGACACCACACGCCCGGGCCTTGGGAGAGCGGACGCCTGCGGCCATGGGGGGCACAGTTAGGGTCCATCCTGTACCAGGAGAACGGTGAGCAGTGGGGGCACCTCCAGCCCAAACCAGGCCCTTTCCCCCACCCCCCGTCCCCTGCCCCCCGCCCCCAGGCTCCTGGGGGGGCTGGTCCTGCTGCCTACAAGGCCTGGGCAGAACTTCCCTGAGTGCGCCCTGGCGTGGGCCCCAGAGGCTGGGCCGCAGGGAAGTGCTGGGGCTGGGTGGGGGCCAGGCCAGGTGGAGGGGAGCCCCTGTGTAGCCCTCACCTGGCCCCCAAATGCTCCTACCTCACCCTCCCCGCTGTAGATCTTCAGTCCCTGGAGGCTGAATTTCAGGATGACGGCCCGGCGGCGCGGACAGTCCTGGGTGGAGAGAGCCGGCGGGGCAGGCATTACCTCCCAGGCCAGCCTCGGTGCCGCTCACCAGGGCCTGGTGGACCAAGGCCCACCACCCCTGGCCAGTGGTCCCCCCGGGAGCCATGGAAAGGTGGGTGGCTCCTGGCAGACAACACCCATCAGGGCCACAGCTGGCCATGTTGTGACTATCTCCCCATCTCTGCTGCCAGCTGTGCAGCACAGCCCCGAGGAAGGGGGTCCTGGGCAGAAGGGACAGGGTTCCAGGAGCTGGGGAGGGGTCCTCATGGGGCTCCCTGGGGGCAGCTGGCCTCAGGGCTCAGTCCCCACACGGCAATCCAAGACCGCGGCCCCCCACAGGGATGCACCCTCCCCAGCCCCAGCGCCTCCACCTTCAGTGTCCACAGCTGCTGCTGCACCAGCCACACGCTCTCCTGGGTGTCCAGGTCGTCCACGGGGAAGGAGCCCACGTACTGCTCGGCGGTGGGGTGGGAGGGAGGAAGGCGGGGGAGTCAGGCCCACAGCCCCTGACCACCCTTCTCCAGATCCAAAGCCTCCCCCCACCCCAGACACATGCTGTGCTCAGCCAGGCAAGCTGGGGACGGTGGCAGAGCCTGCACCGGGAGCCCAGCGCTCTGCCCATCTCCTGCGGGTCCCCTCCCTCACACACACACACTGCGAAGCCAGGGGCAAGGAAGGGAGATGGGAAGTAGCTCCTCCCATCCAGGGGCCACCCACAAGAGCACCCAGCTGGGGCCGCCCCACCCACCTGGGCAAACTTGGTGATGCACCTGGGCCGGTACGGGGCCGGCCCGCAGTCAGAGGCCCTCCGGCCGCCCGCCCCTGCCCTCTGCATGGCCCCGAGGGTGCCCAGCTTCAAGGTCCACAGGAAGAAAGGCTGCAGGAAGCAAGGGGCAAGGGCGGTTTCCGGACAGGCGAGCCGCAGCGCTTCCGGTCTGAGGCTGGCGAGCTCCCTCGCGCCTTTCACTCCATCTGACGATCCCTACCGAGCACCAGGCTCTGGGGACGTAGCCTTGAAAACACAGCGGCTGCTCTGCCTGCCTTTGTCATGGGGACAAAGACACGGAACTAAATGCTGGGCGCTGTGACAGGTGGAACGTGCCGGTACCCTGGGAGGGGGTGGGCTTTGGGTGAAGACCTGAAGATGGGGCTGCTCGCTCATTCGCTCATCAAACGCCAACCCCAGCAAGGTCAGAGCTGAATCGGACAGGGGCCCTGCTGCCGGGTGGTGGAAGTCAGGGTGCAGACTGGAACCAACGGGTGCAACGTGCCAGAGGGAAGGGACGGCACCCTGGGGAGGCAACAAGGGCGAGGGGTGCCAGGCTGCGGAGGCGCCAAGCCAGGCGGGCAGCTGGGGCCCAGGCCGACCTGGCCCCAGCAGCAGACCAGATCTGATTTGGGGTCAGTCTTAGGGGCCGGACTGGGGAATTCCAGCTCTGCCTGGTGGGTAGTGGGGAGCCATAACAGGTTCCAGAGCAAGAGCAGCCCTGGGGGTGGCCATGAGCTAGGTGACCACAGCCCTGTGGCTGAGAGCCTGTTTCACAGGCCCCTGCTTATCTGCCCAGCCTGACCCCGGCTCTCTCCAGAAACCCACAGCAGACCATAAACCCAGAACCCACCGAGAGTGCAATGACACGGCATCGGGGTGTGGAGAAGGTGGACGGCACCTGGGGGGCTGAGGAATGTGGCCCCCAGTCCCAGCCTTGCCCTTGGTCACCTGCTCCCTCAGCCTCCCCTGGGGCCACCCCAGACACCCCCCTCAGGGACCCAGAGCCTGCTGTCCAGGAGGGGCTCGGCGGGGGGGAGCAGTTCCAACCGCGTCAGTCCCCCCTTGCCAAGGCCACACCGACAGGTGACCGCCTGGTCCCGGAGGGCGCGGCAGTGGGGGCCATGATTCAGCCAGGAGCGGGTCTGAGTCCCGAGTGTGCCCCGCCTCCGCCTGCCCTCGACCTTCCCTGCCAGGCTCAGCCTGGGGGGAGGCACCACTGTGATGCGTGGCTTCCATCGAGCAGCCAGCCAGGCACGTGGTGGCAGTCAGATGCGCGGTCCCCGGGAGCCCTCCGGGGTCCCCCTCCCGGCTGTCTCCCCTGGCTCTCCTGGCCCCCTGACCCCGGCCATTGTTCACATCGTGTCTCCCACCTACTGCACAGCGATGTTCAAATAAAGCCACGTCAGCTGTGCCACCAGCACACAGGCCACGCGATGCCCAGCCCAGGTGGGCAGATGGGGACTTCCAGCCAAGGCGCGTCTGACTGCATGGCGCACCCAGGGGCTGGGATGGCAGCCAGGAGGCCGAGATGACCAAAGAAGCAAGGTGCAAACGGGGGAGGGGGACACAGGCAGACACAGCAGCTGCGGCTCCAGTATCCCAGCCTGGGGGTGGGGAGGGGACGCCAGGCCACAGGCTCCTCGCTCAACCCACCCCCCCACCCCGGCCCCTGGGCCTCAGCCCCCTTGGACACTGGCTGCTGCCCCCTCCCCCACCTCTCCCCCAAGGCTTCAGGACACCAAGCCTTTCTGCCCAAGACCTGGAGCTAGGGGTGCCCAGGGGAACCAGGGGGCACCAGCCTAACCCTGGAAACAGCGCTGCTTGCCCCTGCAGCCACAAACGCCGGCTTAGGTTTGAGCTTTTACAGAGGCGCCTGGTGGCACAGGGGTCACGTTTGCAGGCAGCCCGGGGCTCCCTTGTGGTTGAGGTCTGCCAGGTGGCCCAGCTCAGGGACCAGACGACTCCCCTGCGGAGCAGGCTCCGAGGCCCCTCTGCTGCACGGAACTGTATCTGCGCTGACGCAGGGCGGGGAAGGCAGCTACCTGGTCATAGTCCCACGGGGTAATCCCGGAGCTGGCGGCAAGGCCAGCCCTCCGGCCCTCCCAGGGGGCAGGGGTCCGCGGCGGGAGTCCAATGCGTCCCAGGGGGCAGGGGTCCGCGGCTGGAGTCCAATGCGTCCCAGGGGGCAGGGGTCCGCGGCGGGATTCCAATGCGTCCCAGGGGGCAGGGGTCCGCGGCGGGAGTCCAATGCGTCCCAGGGGGCAGGGGTCCGGGGCGGGAGTTCGCTGCGTCCCAGGTGGCAGGGGTCCGCGGCGGGAGTTCGCTGCGTCCCAGCCTGTCTAGGAGGGGGTGAGGCGAGGGAGCAGGGACAGGCGTCGGGAGCCCGGTGGCCCCCGGCACGGACCTCCCCGGCCAACGCCAGCTTCCCTCCTCTGGCCGGACGGCCTGCGGCCGCCCCATCACCCACTCGTGCCACCCCCATGCGCCCCGGAGGCTGAGGTCCACGCAGCCAGGGGTCAGGGACGTGGGCTGCGGGGTCCATCACGATCGGCTGATGGGACCCCGGACAAGTCACACTCGCCGCCTCCCGTTCCTCAGCTCGGGGGTGGCCCAAGTCCCCGCCTCCGAGGACACGCAAGCTGGGGGCGGGGGCGGGAGTCAGCGACGGGAGAACCGCGAGAGGTGCGTGCGCCGGCGCTGCGGGGGTGCGACGCTCGCCCCAGACCCGGGCTGAGCTGCGAGAGCCGAGGCCACGCGGGGGAGCAGCGGCCCGCGCTGCTGCGCCACCCGCGCACTCCCGGCGTGGGCTGTCTGCGCCGCCGCCTCGAAGCTGGCGAGCGCGACCCCGGCCACCCTGAGTCCCCGCCGAGGAGCAAGACGCCCGAGGAGGCGACGGGAGACACCGGGGCCGGCGGCGGGGGCCCAGGGGCCTCTCGCTCCCTGAGACCCTCCCCGATCTCCGCGCCGCAGACCGAACCCACTCACCGCGGCAGCCCTGTCGTGGCGCGTCCCGTCCCGCAGCTCCAGCTCCCGACCCCTGCGCGTCCCCCGCGCTGCTGCGCCCGGGCGCCCGCCCCGCGCGCCCCCCACGTGGCCGCGAGCGCAGACCCTCGGCATCACCTGGCGGCGGCGCCCGGCCGCGCTCGCCTATCAGAGCCCGTGGAGCCGCGCCGCTCGGCCGCGCCGCCCAATCAGCGGTCGCGAGGGGGCCTTGACACCGCCCACACCGACCCCTGCTCCCCCTTAAAGGGCCGAAGGGGGTGCCAGAGCCCCCCGCCCCGAGGGCTCCTCTTGCGGGGCCGCGGGCCTGGGGTCCCCTGAGGCTGTGTCGTCCGCGGCCCCTCCTGCCCCTGGCTGGTTTCTTCTCGCCCTCCGAGCGCCGGCTTCCGTGGCGCCTCCTCCGAGAAGCCTTACCGGACCACCAGTCAGCCCTCTCCCACTCCCTACGGAGCCCTCGCGACTCGCTCCCTTGCTTCCTGACCCTTCTCTCGATAGAGCGCGAGCGGCGCCGGACAGCAGGGCCTCCGTCCCCGGGGCGCTGGGCAGAGTCCGGCTCCTAGGAGGCGTCCAGTGGTGGCCGTTGTGACCCCTCTGGCGGGGGCGCGGGGCGCGCATCCTCTGCCTCATTCTGCCCCTCCTCCCCGGGCCAGTCTCTGGTGCACGCGGAGTGACCCTGCCCCCGGGTTACCCGGAAATCCGCAGGGAAGCGGGGGGACGGGCTCCCCGGAGGTGCCTGTGGTGCGTATGACGCCTGCACCCCGCCAACACGGGAAATGGCCGGTGCACCGCACCGCAGGGCCCGCCGCGGGAGGCGGCAGGTGGCGCAAAGGCCGAGCCGGGTGCGAAGGGGCCGAGAGGTTCCGGGCAGCCGCCCAGGCATTCCCTGTGCCCTGTGCCTTCCCACCAAGGACGGCGCGCGAGCCCCGCGACCTCAGTGCCCGAGCGCCTCTCTGGGAGCCCCAGGCGCTGCCCTGGCTGTGATGCCCGAGTGTGGACCGAGTTGCCCGTGTCAGGTGCACCGGGAAAGCCTTCATGGGGCTGCCTGAAGCCTCGGGGACAGAGGGAAGGAGGTGATTTACAAGCTGGTCCTGCTCTCCGACTCCCAAGCGATGACCCTCAGCGCTCACAGAGCAGAGGGCGATGCCTACCTTTCCCCAAAAACCTGCCCGCGTCCCACGTCCCACCAGCTCCCTGCTAGTGCGCCGGGGCGAGCGGGAGGGGCAGTGGATGAATGCCCAAGCTTTTGGGTTAGAAGTTCCATACTGGGGCCCGTGTCGCGGCACAGTGGGTTAAGCTCAGCTTCCGATCCGGCTCTCTGCTGTGGCCTGGGAAAGCAGCAGAAGATGGCCCAAGTCCTTGGGCCCCTGCACCTGCGTGGGAGACCTGGAAGAAGCTCCTGGCTACAGATTGGCTCATCTCCAGCTGTTGTGACCTTTTGGGGAGTGAACCAGCAGATGGAAGATGGATTTCTCTCTCTCACTTTCAAATACATGATTTTTTTTTTTTAATGAAATAAGGCTTCACTGCTCACCTGGACTATTCCCCCAAGTTCAGTGGAGCTTCTACCAGGAATGTAGCCTTAAGGTTCATTGGAGGAATGAGTTCAAAGGTACCAGACCTCCCGGGGGTCAGCCAGCCCCTGGGCAGGTCAGCCCAGCTGCACTGCGGACAATGGCATCTGTTGGTCATGGCCGCATCATTTGCCACACGTGGCTCATCTCAGCTTCCTGACAGCACTGCCTCGAGACCCAGCAGTGCAGGACCCCGGCCGCTGGGTCAGTGGCTCACTGCAGTAGGAAGCCCAAAGGCGTTGCCCCTGTGAGGCAGGGGAAGGGATGGCGGCAGAGGCGAGCCGGGGCGGGGAGTGAGGGCAGCCGACCACGCGGTGCACACGCCGCGTCACGCCGCGTGCCGTGAGTCAGGGCTGATGACTGTGCTGCACAGGTGTGCGCCTGCCGTCACCAGCCTCCCTTCTCTCCCCAGCCCCGGAAGCCGGCGCCACTGCTGCCAGCTGAGGCGTGTGAGTGGGCAGTGACGGCACAGCAGGGAGAAGCTGAAAACCGGAGCCAGGGGCGTGAGCTCTGACAGCCTCTCACCCACACCCGCTCTCGCTGGCCCTGGCTAACCCCTGCTGCTTTCCCCTCCCCCGCCCTGAGCGCCCTCCTACTTGGTCTCTTAGATGTGTCCTGCTGGCTGTCCCAGCAGCCCACCCCAACATTGTCCCCCCAGAACAAGTGACCTAGAACAGAGATTGTTAGAAATTCTAAGTGCTCTAGACTAAAGGTGCCACCACCCCACCAGACTCAAACGTGAAAACCTAACCTTGTGATGTAACCCATTTTGCAGAGAGGGTCTTTAAAGTGCTCAACACAGGAAGAGACAAAGGGCCCACCCACTGCCCCGCACCCCCAGCGCCCACAATGGCTGGGCTGAGCTGGGGCTGAAGCTGGGAGCCGGAGTCTCAACCCAGTGGCCCAGAGCCAAGTATTCCAGCCACGGCTGCTGCCTCCCAGGATGCCCTTAGCAGGAAGTTGGGGTCAGGAGCCAGAGCTGGGAACCGAACCCAGGCACTCTGCTGTGGGATGCGAATGATCCCAACCAGCGCCTTGAAAAAAAATTTTTTTTTTTGAAAGGCAGAGATACAGAGAGGCAGAGGCAGAGAGAGAGAGAGAGAGAGAGAGAGAGAGAGAGAGGTGGTCCATCCACTGGTTCACTCCCCAGTCAGCTGCAACAGCTGGAGCTGTGCCGATCCGAAGCCAGGAGCCAGGAGCTTCTTCCGGGTCTCCCACACAGGTGCAGGATCCCAAAGACTTGGGCCATCCTCTACTACTCTCCCAGGCCATAGCAGAGAGCTGGACTGAAAGAGAGCAGAGAGCCAGGACTCGAACCGGTGCCCGTAGGGGATGCTGGCACTGCAGGCAGTGGTTTTACCTGCTGTGCCACAGCGCCGGCTGCTAAACGCCCCATTTTACAATCTGCTGAGGAGAAATCTGAGTTCCCTTTCGCCTTGTCCCTGCCAGGTTTCGCTGCCTGGATTGAGTGTACAACACCACTTCGAGGCGTGAGGGCCACGAGTGGTAATTCAGTTAGCCAAGCTGGGTTTCTCTATCACTCAGTATCTTTAACTTTGGAATGATTAGCTAAATTCAGTTGTTCCTGAAAATTGGAGGTAATTTCACGTAGCTTCGAGAACTTCCCACAAAGCGCTCTAAAGCACGTAGCAGTAAGAGACTACAGTGGTGTGGGCACTGCCCCGCTTGGCACACTCGCATCCTGGAGGTGCCCGCCCGGGTTCGAGTCCCCACTCCGCAGTGATCCTGCTGCCTGCTAATGTGCGCTCCGAGAGGCGGCAGGGGAGATGGCTCAAATACTTGGGCTTCTGTCACTCATTTGGGAGACCAGGACGGAGTTCTGAGCTCCTGGCTTCAACAGGACACAGGCCCAGCTGCTGTGGCTATCTGGGGAGTGACCAGCAGATGTCACTCTTTAAGAAACAAATAACTCCAGTCTCTCCTCCGATCCTAAAATGTGTTAGTAACCACAGAGTCACTAAGATAGTTCAATCTTTCTCGCGATGACCACACTGCTTCTAGGTGACTATCTGAAAAAGCAAGGGTTGTGGATTCAGAGCCAATCGTTTTCAGATGAGGCGATCAAGGCTCAGGTGAGCAAGCCGGGAGCCAAGGTCACACAGATGATCAGTGACACGGTCTGTGCAGAACCACGGCTAGAGATGCTAGGATGCTGGGCTGAGCGGCGTCTTCCAATCTCAATGCAGAACTGATGGACACTTTATTCCAGAGGTGGGCGCTGGGTCTAGCAGGTGAGGCGTCCATGTGCCCCAGGGGCTTGAATTGTCAGCTCTGGCTCCTGGCTCCAGCTTCCCGCCCATTAGACCTGGGGACTCAGACGATGAGGTTCCCGCCACCACGAGGGTGACCTGGACTGTGCCCCCTGCTCTCAGCTTCAGCCCAGCCCACCCCCAGCTCTTGCAGGCATTCGGGGGAGTAAGACAGTGTGACGGGAGCGCATTCTGCCCCTTAGCTAAATAAATACAATTTCAAATGTAGCTTTCACTCTACATCCTGTTATCAGCAGGTTTGAGTCACACAAACAGGTAACCTAAGAGATTTGGGCTGACGAGAATCAGCCCATCGGAGCCAAAGTTCTCCGACAGTGACACGGACGCGTGAGGACGAGGCGAAGCTGCCTGGGCTTCCGGTGAGAAGGGTTGCTGCTGCTGCCCTTGACTGGGCTCCCTGCAGAGGAAGTCTGCGAGCAGGGGCTCCGGCTTTCCAGCTCAGCGTCACCCAGCAGCAGCGTGTCCAGAGAAGCCCCGCTGCCTGCCCTGCCGAAGAAAACCCTCCTTCTGGAGCTTCTCGGTGGGCTTCACGGAACGCAAGTGCGCAGCGGATAAAGAGTGAGAAAGCTCCCTGTTCCCTTAGCAACAGGGAAGTTCTGACGGACGCTGTGGCTCCTGGGGCGGGGCGGGGGGGGGGGGGGCGCTCACACGCATCAGCAGAGCCACAGGCTGAGCGCCGCAGTAAGCCCACTGTGAGAAACCAGAGGCCGCGGCCAGGACTTGAGGATGCCGGGGACTCGCACGGCGCCTTCAGAACCCTCACGGCGCCCGGATAGTCCCCAGAACTTGAAGGCCTATTTCAACAGTCAGCAGATTTAAAAGTCCCACTGTCTTCAAATAAGTAAAATTCAAAAGCCGCACTTATTAGTAAACGTGGCTAAGTCATTTCATTTCCAAGTCCTTTGTTCTATTCTAAAAAGTATTACCTTCGCTTTTCATTTGAAAGACAGACTTGCCAAAAGGCACTGGTTCACTCCCCAGATGACCAGAGCAGCCCAGGATGGGCCAAAGCCAGGAGCCCGGAGCTCCATCTCCCAAGTACTCAGGCCTCCCAGGAAGTGCATCAGCAAGCTGGAATCGGGCGGAGCTGGAACTAGAGCCCAGGGACGGCTTCACGGGTGAGGCACCCTCCATGGCGCCTTATTCAGGGTGCAGAACGCCTGCCCGCTCCGTGCTCAAAGCCGTGTGGGATTTACACGGTCACGGGGCTGCCGGGCAAGGGCACAAGCGAGCAACTCGGAAACAGCCAAGGGAGGCAGTCAAGCCGGCTCTGAACTCAGCACGCCTGGCCTTGAGACCTACCACGACCCGGGCAAGCTACGAAATCTCACTCTGCCTCGGTTTCCCCTTCCCTAAGGGGGAAATACCAAACTGTGTCATACAGTCGCTAGGATTCAAGGTGATAATAGATGCCGAAAATTTCACGCATGGAAGAAACTCCATTGTTGCTAGCTATTGTCACTATTATTACTTAAGCAATGAGCCAAATGTTAATAAACTACACTTTATCAAACACACTCAAGGGACACCCAGAGGGGGCTCTTTGCTAAGCAAAGATTTCATAGGAAATTGTGTCAATCACACATTTGAATACAGCAGGAGAAAGCGAGCGAGTGTTTAAGCAAAATGGTTTAGGAAGGTGCCTTTTGGGGCCTCCTCTGACATCAGTAGTTGACAGAGCAAAATTCAGAACAGTGACTACTAAGTTCATAAGTTTACATCAAAAGCAAAATTTTTTTTCCAATAGAAAAGAAAAAGAAAACCATCGACATTAAGAATCTCGTGGAAAATGATACAAGAAAGGAGAGTGGAGAGTGGTGATAGCAATGGTACACAGTGCGGCCACCGGGGGAGGGATACCGTGCAGCCACCGGGACTGGCCTCTCGGGAGACCTTTGGCAAGAGCTCCCAACCACGAGCTTTGGCAGCCATAACCCCCCAGCGTCAACTCCGCG